ATTTTTTTTTCCCATTTCAATTTTGGTTTATCTTCCATATTACAGCACAATCTCTCTCATTCTCTCTCTTTTAACTTTGAAAGCATTTTCCCATTTCTCTTGCGTCCCCCCCCCATTTAATATGTTTCTACACCTAATTTTGCCTAATCTGATATTTATGCAAGCAGTTTTCTGTAATTTAATTCTATGTTTTATTCATACAAAAACATGAATGTGTGGGCATAAAGCTACACTGTAGTTTAATTCTGTATGTTATTTACATATATATTAAAAAAAACCATGAATGTCTGGAGATATAGTTACGCAGTACATGCTTCTATACAGTGGTGAAATGTAAAATTTGTTATTACCTGTTCTGTGGGCGTGGCTTGGTGGTGATGGGTAATAAGACTGAGTGGGCGTGGCCAACTTTTTTTTAAAAAAAAACTTTTAAAACCATTTTTTTCTTTCGGCTGAAGAGGTTGTAAAAAAAATGCTTTTAAAAGCCTCTGACGATCCCAGCTGACTTGCCTGATCAGCAGAGGCTTTTTTTCCTTTTAAAAACATTTTTTCTATAACCTCTTCGAATGAAGAGGTTGTAAAAAAAAATGCTTTTAAAAGCCTCTGACGATCCCAGCTGAGCCAGGCAATCATCAGAGGCCTTTTTTTTTAACTTTTAAAAGCATTTTTTCGACCAAAGAGGTTGTAGAAAAAATGCTTTTAAAAATAATTTTAAAAAAGCCTCTGATGATTGCGGGCTCAGCTGGGCATGGGGGTGGGGGCAGAGATTTTTGCTACCGGTTCTCCAAACCATCTGCCTCCATTGCTACCGAATTGGGTGATCCGGTCCAAACCGAGAGCATTTCACCCCTGCTTCTATATGTTTTCTTTCCAACTGGAAGCTTAATTTGCAGATTGCTTCAGAAGGCATACTGATACTCATACTGATATGATCGTCGTACGAGGTGTGGCAGTGGTCAGATATCACGAACAGCCCTAATCAAAATCTTTGGTTTCGTGCTCTCATGAAACGAAAACTAGCATCAAAAGCAAGCTGCGTGGGGAAAAAAAGAGGTTGTGCGATTGGAGGAAATCTACAAGTCTTTGTATTAAAAGAAGAGGCAAAAAGCAGCTGTGATCGTGTCTTTCATGTCTGGAAATGGGAATGGTTCATGAAAGAGACTAATAAAAAAAAAACTTTGGGCCCACAGAGAAGGAGAAACGGAGACGTGGGAGGGGAAGGGGATCAAACACGCACATAGCACTAGAGACAAAAAAAACAGGCTCAGCGTGAGCTGCAAATAAAAGATGTGTGTATTTTAGGAAGCCTTGAAGAAAGGAAGAGCAAACACAAAGATACATTTAATCAGATACCCCCAGAAGCTTTGCAGACATCTGAAGAACAAGGATGTAACGCTTTGTGCTTATGCAGGATCCTTCATCCGACAGCCTCAAAGCAATTGTCAAGCAACATCCTGTGATTAAAAACAAGTACAGTTGTCCGACATGGTTCTGGCCAGCCCTGATTATATTTAAATAGGATAGGATAGGATAGGATAGGGTAGGGTAGGGTAGGGTAGGGTAGGGTAGGGTAGGGTAGGGTAGGTAGGGTAGGTAGAATAGAATAGAATAGAATAGAATAGAATAGAATAGAATAGAATAGAATAGAATAGAATAGAATAGAATAGAATAGAATAGAATAGAATAACAAAGTTGGAAGGGACATTGGAGGTCTTCTAGTCCAACCCTTTGCCCAGGCAGGAAACCCTACACCACTTCAGACAAATGGTTATCCAATCTCTTCTTAAAAACTTCCAGTGTTGGAGCATTCACAACTTCTGGAGGCAAGTTGTTCCGCTGATTAATTGTTCTCGCTGTCAGGAAATTTCTCCTTAGTTCTAAGTGGCTTCTCTCCTTGATTAGTTTCCACCCATTGATTCTTGTCCTACCCTCAGGTGCTTTGGAGAATAGCTTGACTCCCTCTTCTTTGTGGCAGCCCCTGAGATATTGGAACATTGCTATCATGTCTCCCCTAGTCCTTCTCTTCATCAAACTAGACATACCCTTTCCTGCAACACTTCTTCCTATGTTTTAGCCTCCAGTCCCCTAATCATCTTTGTTGCTCTTAGTACGGCTGAGCTCAAAGCGATAGATAAATGCAATATAGCTGAGGCAACTGCAGAGGAAAAGAAAGGGTAAAGAAGGGAACTTATCAGTTGCAAATGCTTTCGAGTTAACCGGGAAAGCAAGCAGAATATTATTATTTTTTTAGTTCCATCAGCATCCCAGTTCATTGACATTAGAAGACAAGTTTACCCAGATCATTGACATTAGAAGACAAGACAATAAAACAAAGACAGTCTTTGTTTCATTCAACCTGTTACTTAGGTATTTCTTATTCTTACTTCAGCTGGCCCTGCTAAAGCTTAGGTCCAGGAAAAAGCAATTCACAGCTTCCTGGTCTCTCTTTTGTGGTATATGTTAGCAACCATAATTGCTAACCATTGGTGGTGTGATTTCTAGTGCTTTTGAAGCACATAGGCCACAATAAGTGTGAGTGCTCCCCACATCCCTTCCCTGACAGTCACCACAAAGAGAAGAGTGAAGACTTCTGCTTCCACATCATTTTCAGTCTTGCATCTAAACCAGTGGTGGGTTGCCCCTGGTTCACACCGGTTCTATAGAACCGGTAGTAAAACTGGTGGGAGGGTCTGCCCACTGACCCTGACGTCATCAAAATGCTTCTGCGCATGCGTGAGCGAGCAAAGCAAGCGCGTGTGCATGGCCCCATTGCAAACCGGTAGTAAAGGTAAGTAGAACCCACCCCTGATCTAAACCAGAGGTGGTATTCAGCCGGTTCAGACTGGTTCAGGCGAACCGGTAGCAGAAATTTTGAGTAGTTCGGAGAGCCAGCAAATTGCACCACCGGCTGGCCCCACCCACCCTGCCCAGCCCCGCCCCACCCATATATCTTGCCTTCGCCACGCGGCCCAGGTAATCTCCGCACCTTATCTCTGCGAACCGGTGGTGAAATTATTTGAAACTCACCACTGATCTAAACTCAATTGGTATGTAGATCCATTTTTAATCCTTATACACTTTTTGAAACACATCCAGTTTCACATCTCATCATTTGAGGTTTGCTTCTAGCTAACTTAAAACGGAAGCAAGATTTCAGATTTTTTCTTGCAATTGCACCAGAGAAAGAGGGGATAAGGAAGATGTGTGACCCAACCTTGCTTTGGCTTGTCTTCACAATATTAAACTATGGTATAGAGATTTCATTAGAACACACAATGAATAGAAAAGGGAAGCATTCAGACAAGTCAGTTCTCCTCTCTTGTATTGCCAATTGTCATTCCCTGCCTAAGCCATCTCTCAGACCAGGGGTGGGTTCTACTTACCTTTACTACCAGTTCGCAACGGGATCGCATGCACAGATCACCGATGACGACATCCGGGGTGGAGGGCGGGGCCTCCCACCGGTTTTACTACTGGTTCTTATGAACCAGTTTGAACCGGGGGCAACCCACCACTGTCTCAGACAGTTCTCCATGTATGCTTCTTGCCTCCCACCTCTCCAAAAATATTTTCTGGTTAGACAAGAGGGGATCTCTTTTCATAAATGAAGGTAATTTTTCAATGGCTTTTCGAAGTATTATACGTATTTTCTGAATCACTAAGCTGTAAATTTCAAAACATTAATAAAACCAGGTGCTGCCTATTGTCCAGATGAAGGGGTGGGCCAGCAATGTCCCCTTTTCTCTTTGGCTTTCAATTTTAAGTGGTTTGGATTTTTAATTTGCTAATTCTTTTACATTTAAAAACAAACAATCCCTTTTCCCAACCAGCTGTCCAACAGCATTATTCGAAGACTGTATTTCACAACTTAACTTTGTTGAACCTAGCACAGGAAGAAAACCCATTCTCCTGATCTGCTACTCTGCGGAATAGAAGGGTTTTTTTCTTCATACTGGTTAGAAATAAGGAGTAAGTCAGCACAGAAGGTCTTTCTCTGGTTATCTTTCAGAATCTTTCATCATAACTTCTGTTGGGATTAACTATGAAGACTATTTTATCCTTCTCGATATCAGTTACAAGGCTACACTAAGCTATTTTGATTTAATAGGTGGACACAAAAGTTCATATAACTAAATTATAACTGCAAACAAGACTGAAGTTTTCACTTTAGTTCTTTTTCTTGAATTTCAAAAGCCCTTAGCCCCACCATCACTGTCACAGGAGTGTTTGATATGACATCCACAGTGCTCGTTTGATAGCTTTTCACAAACAGCATCAACAAGCCAGTTTGATTGTCAAGAAATAAAATGTGTCAGGAGAAGGATGAAATGACATGGTGTGAAATCCAGGAACTGCCTTATGAAAGACAGAAGGTGCTAAAAGGGAAGTTCAATTTTTCAAACTTTAAACATCTCTCCAGAGCATCTCATTCTGCATGGTACCAACTTACGTGTCTTAAAGGGGTGGTGGAGCTACATGCATATTCCTTTTTTCCGCCCTCCAGATCCTTTCTCCAAAGCAGGTGTTCAATAATTTAGTAATTAGTATGCACATCTAACTCCATCGTAGCCTCTGTTGATCTCTCAATTATAGTTAGCAGGTCCTCTGCCGTTTGCCGTAGTTAATTACAGCAGTATTGAGCAGGCAGATTTGGCAGCCAAGCTTCGTAATCAACTGACAACTAACTCCCATATACTTGAAACAGTTTGGTTCATGACCTATTTATATCGGATCTCAATTGGAGATGTTGGGGGAACAATTCCCAACTGTAAAATACAGTTGTTATTATTAGTTGCGAAGTCGTATCCGACCCATAGCGACCCCATGGACAACTTTCCTCTAGGCCTTCCTATCCTCCACCATCCCCTGGAGACCATTTAAGCTCACACCGACTGCTTCAGTGACTCCATCCAGCCATTTCATTCTCTGCCGTCCTCTTCTTCTTTTGAGCCTCTATCGTTCCCAGCATTAGGCTCTTCTCAGCGAGTCCTTCCTTCTTATTAGGTAGCCAAAGTATTTGAGTTTCATCTTCAGGATCTGGCCTTCTAAAGAGCAGTCAGGGCTGATCTCCTCTAGGACTGACCGGTTTGATCGCCTTGCAGTCCAAGGGACTCGCAGGAATCTTCTTCTTCTTTTTTTTTTTAATTTGATTTATATGCCACCCTTCTCCGGAGACTCAGGGCGGCTTACAATGCGTTCAGCACCAGAGTTCAAAGGCCTCAATTCTTTGGCGCTCAGCCTTTCTTATGGTCCAACTTTCACAACAATACTTTGCAACTGAGAAAACCATAGCCTTGACTATACGCACTTTTGTTGGCACGGTGATGTCTCTGCTTTTTTAGTTTTTTAATATTTTAAAATACAGTACCTGGACCAAAATTCTTGCTTGAACAAAAAGAGATGGGTCCAAGGTCTGCCTTCTTCGCCCACCAACCACGCTGGGTCACCAGCTGACTGGGACCCCTCGGGCTCCTGCGCCTCTAGCAGCCACCTGACCCGCAAACACCGGCTGCAGTGAGGGGGGCGGATGGGTGTGGCGGGGGGATGGGCTGTGTCCGGTGGGGGGCTCGGGGGGGGGTGCTGGCTACTGCCTGAAGGTGGAGTGCAGCTCCTTGAAGGCCTCCTTCCGCTGCTTCAGCTCCTCTGCCTGGCGCCGCTTCTCCTCCTGCTCTGCCTTGATCTCCTCTTCGAAGCGGCTACCCACGTTCATCGCCTGCACCTGCGGGGACGGGGCGGCCAAGGAGGGCGGGAGGTGGGTGGGTTTATTTATGTTTAGCCCTCCTTTATTCTTCTTATAAATAACTCAAGGGGGTGATCCTCTCCCTCCCACCCTCCCCCCTTTTTTTCCTACAACAATGTCCCCATGAGGTGGGCCAAGAAAGTGGGGCCCAAAGCCGCCCAGCTGGTTTCCAGGCTCAACTGTGCAAGTGAACCTGCTCCCCTTGACCCCCCCGCCCCCCGAGGCTGCCCTCTTCCCTGCTTACTTTGGCCTCGAAAAAGCTCTTGGCCCCCTTGACGCCCTGGGTGGAGACGTCGATCTCCGAGAGGCAGGCCAGGGCGTGTAGGCCACTGTCTTCCTCCAGCTCCCCGGCGGCCGCTTTGTGGAAGATGAGAAGGAACTGTGGTGATGGTGGGAGGGGGGAAAGGGTTGGAAACAGACCGGAGCTTCCGCCAGATTCTGCCCCAGCCCTTGTTTAAGCTGGGGGGGGGCGGGGGAAGGACTCTCACCTCCCGAAAACTGAGCTTGCTGTCCACATCTTCATCCACCACATCCACTGGTGTTTTTAACTATAGCTTTTGACCCAAAGATGCATTTTCAAAAGGCAACTGGGATTTCTTGAGGGTTTTTTTTCTTGAAAACTTTTAGCTTCTCATCTAAGAAGCTTCTTCAGTTCTTCTTCTTGAATGAGAAACAAAACTTCTTCAAGGGAAAAAAAAAACAGGAAAGTCCAGTTGCCTTTTGAAAAAGCATCTTTGGGACAACTATGACCTGGATGACTGAGAGTCTCCATAGCTATACAGCTTTTGACATCCAGTTAGCTGTATCCATTTATCATGAAGCAGGGTGAAATTAAACAAGGTACAGCAAGTTGCTCAATTGAATTTTGTTGGAAATTAAAAAGAAATCACTTGGAATAACTAAGACATTTTCTAGGCATAGAGAAAATTCCCACCCTTTTGAAAATATCTGCTATCCATAACCTTGACATTTCATGTAAAATGCCAAACAGCTCCATTTTGCACACCTGTCTCCTCATTCGAGAAACTCCCCTCTAAGTCAACACACTTAGTAAAAGCTTTGCCTCTAGTAGCACAGAGTCAAATCAAGCTAATAGTCACCTTTATCTACACCCAAATATCTGTAAAGGTCTGATGTGTCTGCTAATTCCAGAATCCACATGGCAGGAAGACTAGACTGCTCTAATGCAAAATATTCTTCCTGCCTCATTTTAAGGGATGATCAGAACATTTAACTGAAACAAGATAAGGGGAAAAAAATAAAGTTGGTGATTAATATACTACTGCAAAGTATTTGGATACCTGCTGAAATACCCTGGAAGGTGGCCGTTGATTTCAAGAGCATACAATGTGACTTCTAGCTCAGAATACATTCACGGTAATTGTTGTAATCCAGCAGAGCCCATCTAACTATTTTCAAGAGAGGGAAAAAAGCAGCACTCTGAGTTAGGGCTTTGACATCTTGATCAGAAGTATGTCAAAAGGAAGTTTTATCACTGACCCCCACATGGCAGCTGCTGCTATTACATTTGGGAAGCTGAGCTTGGGGAAAGAAATAAACAAAGAGTGAAGATTTAAGAAATTAAGAAAGCAATTTAGAAGACGATAATTAGATCTCCCTTTTGCACCACATTGGGAAAATTAAATTACATTTTTATGAAGGTGTACGTATCCTCTCGGAGAAGTATTGTAGAGAGATTATATTTTTAATATTTTCTCTCTTGTAGCCCATTTCTCTTTCTCTTTTGCTTCGAAGCAAGTGGCACTTTTTAGCCTTCAGCTGTTGCAGCCGTTCATCTTCAATAATTGCATTTGCTGCATAAATTGCCAACAAATGTGGAGAATAAAATTAGTTTTAAAAAAATGAGCCCAAATGGCAGATCTCTAGCAAATATCATATGGAAGGAATTTATACTCTCTGATTTCAGAAATGGAGAAAGAAAGGGGAAGGGAGAGAGAGAAATGGGAAAAGGGCAATTTTTATTTCATATTATTAAAAATAGACATTTAAAAGGATTTGGAAAGACATTCAACCATGATCAGCCCACCTGGATTTTTTACATATTTTTGGCAAGATATTTTAGGTAACCTGCTCAGTAGTTTTCCCAGTTACGAAATGCATTAACAATAATTGTAAAGACACACTTGCTATGCAAGAATTATAAACTAACCACACCGGCTGGATTTACATGGGGTTATCTACTGTATGATTTAGTGTGTTTACAAAAAACAGCCATGTCCATGTTAGGTATAGACAAGACTGTATCCATAACAACTGCAAATCAAAGCATTTTTCTATGCACTTAAGAAATTTAACCAACTTCAGTAAATTATCATATTTTAAAGAAAGGACTGAATTATATTCTTGCCCATTTGCACTGGCCAAATGCAATAGATATAGCTCATCCTCAAGGAGGCATCTATGTGATAACAGTATGATATATACTTCTTAAAACTGATCCCGACAGAATTAAGAAGAGATGTCAATTCTAATTCCATGCCCGAAACATCACTATCAAAGTCTCCTGCTCAGATGCTTTGCAATCCTTATTTATTCCTTGCATTTTAATAAAGTGTTTCATATGAATAAAGGACTGTAGAACATGGCAATTTTCTCTAAAAAGACAAACTGAACATCACTGCCACCATCCACAGGTTCATCTCTTGATTTCTGTTTCTGCAAAGCTAAATTTACACTCTTAAAGTGTACTCTTTACATCCTTAAAGATGATTAAGGAGTCTGGAGGCTAAAACATATGAAGAATGGTTGCAGGAACTGGGTATGTCTAGTTTAATGAAAATAAGGTCTAGGGGAGACATGATAGCAGTGCTCCAAAATCTCAGGGGCTGCCACAAAGAAGAGGGAGTCAAGCTATTCTCCAAATAGCACCTGAGGGCAGGACAAGAAGCAATGGGTGGAAACTAAGCAAGGCCAGAAGCAACTTAGAACTAAGGAGAAATTTCCTGACAGTGAGAACAATTAATCAGTGGAACAGTTTCCCTCCAGAAGTTGTGAATGCTCCAACACTGGAAGTTTTTAAGAAGATGTTGGATAACCATCTGTCTGAAATGGTGTAGGGTTTCCTGCTTAAGCAGGGGGTTGGACTAGAAGACCTCCAAGGTCTCTCCCAACTCTGTTATCCTATCCTATCCTATCCTATCCTATCCTATCCTATCCTATCCTATCGTATTCACACTCTGTTTTATGGCGGTCGTTAAGCAAACACTACAGTTGTTCAGGGAATCCATTGTCCACAATGGGTGAGTTTTACCGGAAACCAGAAGTAAATGCTGGTTTTTTATTTTAAAAAGTCATAAATTATAAAGTGGGCCAGCTGCTGAGCACCCAAGGAAAGGGACCAGAACTTTGAATCTCAGTCATAAGTAACCCTGGGGAAGTCTGTTAGAACTTCGAACAAAGCAACAGGTTGTAAATCAAGAAATACCTGTATTTGAAAATTCCCAAAGTCATTGCTGATCACTGTTAGAAATGGGATGTTGATTTTACCAAACCCAAACTTGTGTTCTTTTTGTATTCAGAAAACGTACGCACAGAAACTTTCTGAGAACCATCAGAAATTATAACTTGATTGTATCATTCAATTCTTATCCCTTCATAACATATTAGAGCCAGATAATTCCATTCCTATTCTTCCTCTTGCTTCTTCATGGTATTATTGTCCTGACTTTTATTTAATAAAGATTTATTTTTTGTGCTGCATAATTTTTAAAATCTTGTCACCCTTCCGAAAACCACTTTCAGCTCTCCAGCTTGAGAAAAAAGGCAGTATCTTTTAAGATAACTTTATTAATTTAGTAGAGAGTTCTGGCATTTAATGCAGCATATGTTTTAAAGATACTATGGAGACATCTAAAAAAAATGCCCCTTGATACCACACATAATAAAAAGCAGCTATAAAATAGCTTGGCTTGCCATTTTTTTGCCTGTATTATAACTTCACTTAAAATATTTAAAAAAAAGAAATAAAAATGCTGTGTTGCTCTGACAATGACTTTTTATAGTTTGAGATGGAATGGAACAAAGATTTAGCTTTAATTGTATGGCCTTTTTTTTCCAATCCTTAGTTATCGAAAGAGACAAGAGGCAGTTGGCAAAATGAAGAAAAATGGCCTCTTGCAATATTTTTAACATATACACATGCCCTGCTTTGGAATACTTTAGATCTTGGAATACACTAATTTTGATTTTTATTCACAATTTGTGTTTCATTCTTCCTCTTCTTTGTTTCTGCTTAAAATATATGTTCATCTCAGTGGTGGGATTCAAATTTTTTTACTGCCAGTTCTGTGGGTGTGGCTTGGTGGACGTGGCATGGCTTGGTGGGTGTGGCAGGGGAAGGATACTGTAAAATCTCCATTCCCACCCCACTCCAAGGGAAGGTTACTGCAAAATCCCCATTTCCTCCCAATCAGCTGGGACTTGGAAGGCAGAGAATAGATGGGGGCGGGGCCAGTCAGAATTTTTACTACCAGTTCTCTGAACTACTCAAAATTTCCGCTACGGGTTCTCAAGAACTGGTCAGAACCTGCTGGAACCCACCTCTGGTTCATCTCCTAGCAATATTATGCTTACAGAAAACTTTGTTATCTTCCTCTTCACCTTTACACTAACTCAAGGTGCAGAAATGAAATTATAAGAAAAATGGAGCCAGTTTTGATTTCTCTCTTCACAATGGTAAACGCCACATTCCAAATTCCTGAAAAAATAAATACAGGAATTCCTCAACTTACAACGGTTCATTTAGTGACCATTCAAAGTTACAACAGCACTGACTTATGACTTATGACCGTTTTTCACCCTTATTGCAGCATCCTGATGGTCATGTGATTAAAATTCAGATGCTTGGGAACTGGCTTGTATTTATGACGGTTGCCATATCCCAGGGTCATGTGATCACCTTTTCCAACCTTTTGACAAGCAAAATCAATGGGGAAGCCAGATTCACTTAACAACTGGGTGACTAACGTATCAACTGCAGTGATTCACTTACCATCTGTGGTGAAAAAGGTTGTAAACTGGGATAAAACTCACTTAAAAATGTCTTGCTTAGCAACAGAAATGTTGGGCTCAATTGTCGTAAGTCGAGGACTACCTATAGATAAATCAGTACATGAATCAATAGAAGAGCCCAGATAAATTTCATTCCAACAGCTTGTGGAGTATAACCAATGAAGTACATACTAGATGTCTCCCCAGAAAAACTAGACGTTTGAACATTGTAGGATAAAATCTTGGCAGAAGTACAAGCTGATTTCATGGGGGGGGGGTGTCTTTGAAACCAGTATCTTATCCTCTATTAATCTATTCTATGACTATGATTCTATTCTATAATTTATTGGTATGACTGCTCATCTCACTACCATTAGAAAAATATACACCTATTGCTTGCATGCAAACTTTGCTGAAGATTTGATTTGATCCCGGGAGAAATGTCTGCTTTTTTCTACTGATCAATATTTGCTATTGCTGGTCAAGAAATTACATGACAACATTTAATGCAAGTATACTGTGAAGCTATAGGGCACTTGCCACCTATTATCCATGTTCATAAAGGAGTGAAACAGGGGTGAAACTGCTTTTTGGTACCTTAGCTGTTCAGCTTTATATTAACTCAGTGATTCAAACCCCAACCAAAATGAGTTCAACCCCCTGCACTAAGAAATAGACCCGTTTAATCCATCTCCATCCTTTTATACACTGATAATATAGTAATTCTTTATTTAACACAAGAAAGGGGCATGAGATTGTGCCATTACCCAGCACTGCAGTAGGTAACATCAAATTATTAACTACAATAAAACCAAAGCAGTGATCTTCTCTAAAAGACCGGTTACTTACCGCGATTCTTGGAAAAGGAATGGCTTCTACATCAATCATATTAAGGTCTTTGTACAATAGGTCAGTGACTCTCAACTTTCTCTTCATCATGGACCCCCTTTAAATATGTTTGGTGGCCACAGACCCCCTTTAACTCAAGATTTAAATCATAACCTTTTTTTCAAGCCTTCACAGACCCCGCTGTGACCCTGCAGCCCCACCCCACCCCCAGGGGTCCATGGACAACAGGTCGAGAACCACTGCAATAGGTAATCAGGAGCTATCCATAATGGTAGCTCAGTGTTGGGGCCTCCAAACTTTCAAACAGTAGTTTGTATCTCACCCATTACAATGCTAGTCATTCTTTCCCTAGGAAGTTTTTCAGAACTGGACATCAGCCACTTGTTTTATACAATACAGATTTGGTGGTGTTTTTTTAGAATAGAATTCTTTGTTGGCCAAGTGTGATTGGACACACAAGGAATTTGTCTTTGGTGCATATGCTCTCAGTGTACATAAAGAAAAAAATAAAATATATTCATCAAGAATCATAAGATACAACACTTAGTGATAGTCATAGGATACTAATAAGCAATTAAATCATACTAGGAAACAATAAAAACAATATAAGTTGTAAAGATACAAGCAACATGGATATAGCCATAAGTGGGAAGAGATAGGTTCTAGTAAGGATGAGAAGAAGAATTGTAATACAGTCTTAGTTAATTTGACAATGTTATGGGGATTAGTTGTTTAGCAGAGTGATGGCATTTGGGAAAAAAATGTCCTTGTGTCTAGTTGTTCTCATCTGCAGTGCTCTATAGCATCGTTTTGAGGGTAAAAGATGAAACAATTTATGTCCAGGATGTGAGGGGTCTGTAGATATTTTCACAGCCCTCTTTGACACTCTTGAGACAATCCCAAGCAAGGCATTATTTTTTTTAAAAAAAGAAGTAGGATACTCATATAATAAATTTCATTTTTTTTCTTTACAAGAATGTAATCCTCTGCCCTGTTACAAGAATTAGGACCCCCCTCACACACTGAGAACAAGTTTTAAACTAGTAGGATCGTACCTTTGCATTTGGATAGTTATTTAAAAGAAGGTTTTACTTATTCAAGAACTACCACTGTCTCTCTCTGTTTTCAGAAAAGGAAGAAAGATGAAAATATTAAAATGTTTTCATATTTAGGATAAAGAAAATTAGAGACAAGAGTACAATGCTCATAGAAAGTTCACTTTAAGTAATGGTAAAGAAATGAACATGAAGATTCAAGACTGGTCTTGAAATGACTGCGTAATTCAAAATTTACTTCATAGGTTAAACTTCTCGGTATGGTAATTGAACTTTGTTGTTGTTCAGTTGCTTCTGTTTCCAACTCTTTGAAATCCCATGGATCAGGCATGCGAGCCCCCCTCCCCCATCCTCTGTCTCCCAGATTTTGTCCAAATTCACGTTCATTCTGTTCATGATGCTATCTAACCATCTCATCTTCTGCCCTCTGTTTCTCCTTTTGCCTTGAAATTTTCCCAACATTTGAAATTTCCCCAAAATTTTCCAAGGAGTTCACTCTTCTCATTTGGTGGCCATAGTATTTGAACTTCAGCTTCATTGTCCTTCCAAAAAATAGTCAGGGCTGATTTCCCCTTAGGATTGATTGATTTGATCTCCTTGCAATCCAAGGGATTCTCAAGAATTTTCTCCAACACAATTTGAAAACATCAATTTTTTGGTGCTTCCTTGTGGTCCAACTCTCACAGCCAGACATTACTACTGGGAAAACCATAGTTTTGACTGTACGGACCTTTGTCAGCAAGGGGATGTCTCTGTTTTTTAATATGCTGTCTAGGTTTGCCATAGCTAGACATTGTGTTTATCTAGAAGATTTAGTACACATATGAAGGTTATTAGAGCTTTACTATCCTGCTTGAATAAACCAATTAAAAATAATAGCATTTTCTTAGATTAGTAAGGCTGTTCAGAAATGTCCTCCTGAAGAAACCTTATAGCAGCATTTCTGCATCTTACTTCCAGATCATAATGCCTTTTAAACTTGCAGGGGAAACCCACATGTTCCAACAATTTCCATGCTTTGGTTCAGCAGTGAGATGACCTGAAAAAAAGAGTTATTGCCTGTGGTGATCAGTGATCAGCTGTTTTGTCCAACTAGACTGAAAGGGGAAAAAAAAATAGTTGAACATAAATATGTTCCAGTAGCCTCTTCTGTTTCTTCCTTAAGCATTCTTTCAATATGGTCTTAGAGCTAGCTTGCTCTTGGGGCACTTTTAGCATGAGGAACAGATGTTTGGAGAAAGTGGGCAACACAAAGGACTTTGTCAATGACATTGAAGTATCTGGTATTGAGTTTCTGCCACGGGATGCTAATTGATGCCATCTATGAGTTAATAAATTGCCTTCAATGAAGTTGGGCCTATTAAATTCAGCTAAGGCCTTTTAGCTTGGCATTTTGTGGTGTGCCAATGAAACCACTCTCTCCTTGTAAGGTGTTTTGAGCATTTTTGATCATTTCTGTTATTGTTGTTCATGAAGGACTCGGGGGAAGCTTAACTGACAAAGGTTGCAGAAGAAAATGCTGCTCAGTATTCAGATACACACTGATACATTTTAAAGAACCACAACAGCAAGTAAATTACCACTGTTGCTGCCATTAGTCTAGTAAATTTCATTTCCTTCCTACTAGCGCCTGGTGTTAATCATGCTTTTATGTTATATACACTACCTTGGCATTATGTAGCAATTAGCAAATGTACTGCTAATTAATTTTACTTTGTAATGCAAATCCTGCTAAACTTTGAAGTCATAACATTTCAAGCTTCTGATGATTACAAGGTCGCTTTCGTATTCAGCACAATATTCGTAAGACTAATGAATGCATTTGATATGCAGCAGGATATCCTGTATTTTTCCCTGGTGGTCATTAACATTTATCGGTAGGTACTTTGTTTAGATACTAAGTTCTGGGTGGCCAGGAAGAAACATAAAAATATTTCAATTAATTGAAACTTTAAAGTAACAACAGTAACGAAAAGGGTGTCTTCGGGGGATGTTAACTTCTGGAATTTGTACGTTTCTTATATGTAATTTTGAGTAGTAAACTTCAGAGATAGCATGTGCATTTATCACTAACAGCTGGACAGTTAAAATTCAGGTCGCCCTTGATATTTCAGAGTATAAGAACACTCAAATTTTCCTTCTAGGCATATAGAGTTTAGGCCCCAGATTTATACAAGGGAGACCCACACCTAAATGCTCCCAAGAACCATAAAACCTATTGGGGATTTTAAGTCACTGTCTCAGTAGAACTTGAATCTCTCTTCCAATGATGCTATTGCATAGGTCAAATGAAAAGAACCCCCATGCATATTGCTTTGAATTCTCAAATGAAAAATCTATATTCCTCTCTCTCTCTGTGTGTGTATGTTCCAGCATAATTCTGGAACGCCTTGAGCAATTTCAACAAAACTTGGTACACAGATGACTTACTCCCTGGAAAGAAATACTGTGGGAGTAAGACACCCCTAACACCCCTCGGGGGGGGGGGGTATTCTGTTAAGATACAGCCTGTTGTGCCTTAAAATGACTTCTACTGGACTGCCTTAAAATGGCTTCTATTGTACAGCAGAGTGGGGTTACCATGGTAACGGCTTCACAGTACTCCACAAGGGGGCTCCCTCTGATAAGGGAGAAAATCCAACATTAGAAATTACGTTTGGTCCAGATATTTTCAACAAGGCTTTGATTATTCTTGAGGACAAATGTATGGCCATGATCAATAAAACATTACTGCAACTCAGCCTGCCTGCACCACTTTCAGAGTAACACGATGTACTTCACACAGATTACACACGAGAAAAGAACTACAATGTCGAACAGCTTAGTGGATATATCACAGACAAGAAGCCACTTCTAAATCAAGATCGGAAAAAAGCATACCAAATGATCATGGATCAGCTAATAAAACAACAAGATGGTATCCTTTTACTTGACACTCCTGGGGGCACAGGGAAAACATTTTAAACTAATTTAATTCTCACTGAGATCAGGGCTCAGGATGAAGTTGCTCTTCCTGTCTAATACAGGATTGGGATAAATAAATAACTGGGCAACACTGGATTATCAGCTAGCCTGATTATAAATGCAACCCAGGAATGAAAAAAACAATGAGGTAGATATAGAAATAAAGGCACTTGTTTGTTTGGGAGGGAACAAATAGCAATGGAGAGAGAGAGAGGCTTCAATTTTATTTCACCTCACTCGACAGAAGAATTGTTGTTTTTATCAATCCTTCTCCCCCAAAATAGGCTGAGGAGGGTATCTATAATAAATTTGAATTTGTTTCATTTGTATGGGTGAATGCTCAACAGCAGTGTTAAAATAGCACTTTGGCCGTTTACTGACATCCTGAAGCCATTAGACAGTTCAGCTCCATGATTCATTGTTTGGCTTTCCAATGGAGGATTCTCAGATACTGCTTCATTATTGGTAGCCATATTGGATAGAAAAAGAAGAGTGGTGTGGTGGTCTAGAGGTGAAGTCTCTTGCCTCACACTCGGGAAGTTGAGAGTTCAATTCTAGACTGTGACAGATGTTTCTCTATCAGGACGCAACCGGAAGGTATCTGTTGCAAACTTCACATAGGCGTCAGGAAGGGCATCTGGCCAGTAAATGCTCAGCTCCATTCAGTTGCCCCAATTCCATCCTGGTAAAAAGGATTACAAAGTCATAAAAAATGGATAAAGAAAGGGGGAAACAAGGGCCAGCATCAGCTGGAATGGGAGTGGGCAAGAAAGGGAGAGTTTGGTCTCCCTTAAAAGCAAATAAAACATAATGGAGAACAATAGAAGAAAATCTACAAGATGGCTGTCTTTTTCTAAGACAGCCATCTTGTCTTTTTCTAAATTATTTGGTGAATAATTTCAGCTCGATTTCAAAGAGGAATATATAATTTTCCAAATTTCTTGTAACTCTTCTAGTTTAAAAATATTAGTTATGATTTTTCCATATGCTTTGAATTTCAAAAGGCTGTTTCCTCTATCCCATTCTGTTTGGAGGCTGGGAGAAAATATTTAAGATAATGGCTTTTAT